TTTTTGCTTACATTTTTTGTGGGCAAGACTCCCTCGGCATGATGGTACCATCTAATACTTCTCATAGAGGAGGGACCTGGTGCGCACGCACGGCGAGTGATGCACTCACCTTCAACCTTCCCCATAGGAAAGCATTGTATTCAATGCTTTCTTATGGGCTTCCACGCTACTTGGCCAAGTTTTACTGTCAGGAAGAGAGCCACTAGAGGTGGATTTAACACTACAATGTAAACATTGCTTTAAAAAAAAAAAAAACTGCATTGTCTTACATTGCAGAGTCAAAGGACAGGGCTACTGCACCCAGATCACTTCATTTAGATGAAGACGTTCCGTGACCTTTGTGTCCCTTTAAAGGAATGTCAGGGACTTATCTCCTTCTCGGATTTTAGAATGTAAGGTAGGTTTTCTTTGAATGTTTGAGTATCACACACACAGGACTTGGGCAAATAGACAGTCTTTTGAACCAGGAGGGGAGTTATTTGCAAAGTGATAGGAGCAGATGATCAGATTACTCAGTGAGTCACATGACAGAATACACAGCTAATTTGGATTCATGCTTCTTGTACACCAAGGTTAAACCTCCATGACAAGGCTTAAAAAGTGGGGAGTCTATCATTAGCATGGACCCTTATTCCAGTACCTGTCCATCTTCTTTTACTTTAGGTTATGACATTGCATGTGAAAAATACTTTTTTTTCTTTCTACTGATACTGAATCATGGGCCTTTAAATTGACTTTGGAGCATAATTGATTTAGCGGTAGAGCAGCTATTTATGCAGCTTATTTCTGAGGTAGAAGGTAGAAGTCTGTAAGGAGGAGAGGGGTAGATTGCTAAAACAGTTCTCACAGCATGTACATTTTTGCTTGGAATACTTTTTAGTTTAGTGACCTGAACTAAAATAAAAAGTATTTTTTTTTTCAGTGGAACTGAAAAAGGTTAATATAGGAATGTGAATGTAAGTAAAAATAAAGGCACATGTTTGTTTGGTTATTTATTATTTTGTCACAATTTTTGAGACCTTGTTTCCTAGAAATGTTTGTGTACTTTGTTGAAAGTGACAATTCCTCAATCTATCACTAGAGGGCAGTAGAGGTGAGTATAAAGCACTAATACTTCCGAGTTAATTCTTTGTCCAGAAGAAAGTCATTGCTCTATAATGCCCCACGAACGCTCAAGCATCTTCTTATTCTATGACATAAGACTACATGTGCACTTGAACATTCTATCCGAAATGTCATGCATGCATCCTCACAGTCACAGGTTACATGGCACTGTGAAGTTAAATTAAGAATGCAATGCAAGTTTAAAAAAAAAAAAAAAATGGTTGTCGCTGAAAGATAAAAATTAAAAGCATCTGTAGCTAAGTTTGGCCCTCCACCTCTCTGTTTCTATGTGTCCAGTTGTCTGGTTACAATTACATGTCTGTCAGTCCACCCATTGTACAGCGCTACGGAATCTGATGGCGCTATATAAATAATAAAATAATAATAATATTGGTCACCAAAATGCATTGTAAAGGGACAAACAACTGAATGCCTTCATTCATATTACCAAGGTGCTCTAGAATATTTGTGCCCATATTATTGTAATATGGGCTTGTGAAATCTTAACTTTGCTCTGGTTTGAGAAATAGTCACTTAACGATTAGTAAGTCTTAACCCATATTCTATTCGTCAGCTGCATTTCATTCTATCACTGTTGTCCCCTAATTATGTATAGAAGTGCTTTGTGAGAAATATTTCCCCTGGATGAACAAAATGAGATTTTACTGCTTTTTCGAATCGGTGCTGAAGAAGACCCTGAGAGCGTTGTCTAAAAACATTCTTGTGGTTTTTATTATCTTTTCCAGAGACTCATGTGGGAAGAACAGTTTGAGTGTTTTAGAAACTATGTTAGGATCAAAACATTTGTCATACAGTTGTGTGGATAATTACAGGTAAGTAAAAAAATAAGTGTCTTTTATTCGTTAAAGTTTCTTGCGTTTTCCGAAAGTAAAGTAAAACAGAAAAGATTAGCATTCAGGTCAAATTTGTATCAGATAAAGTACAAATGAATACCAACCATATCACATAGTAAACATTTAAAGCTGAAATGTTAAATCCACCATTCCTTGTTCTTTCACCTGAATGAATGCTATTTCAGCAATTCAACAGATGAAAAAACATACCCGCACTGCGGTGTCATTCCGTTCCGTAATGCACACTTGGCATCTTCTGGAGAAATGCAATATGGAAGCATGCACACCTGGCACTTACTCTAGTACTGAATGCAAGCATGTGCTGTGTATATGGGACTGTAAGAGTTAACTAGTTTACTTTGGCCAACTATAGGAATCGTTTTCCTCATAAACTAGACAGATAAAAGGAGAGGGTGGGAATACGAAGAAAGGGAAAATAGCCAGAGAAGCAATGAAAAGATAAAAGAAGGGAGGAGACGATAAAAGAAGAGGGAAGAATAAAAATGGGAATTAGGTTACTTGCAATTGTCACTCGATAGGTAAACTGTGAAAAAGTATGGAGTTTGGTCCACTCATACCCACTTGTGCTCTCAGACATGGATTCCAGACCTCATAGAACTGATGCCCGTAATTAAGGCCACAATTTTCTCAATAGGAACACAAGGTAGAGGATTGCACATGCTTTAAAGGAACACTAGAGGGTCAGGAACACAAACATGTTTTCCTGACTCTATAGTGTTAAAGCACTTGCCCTCCCTAAACATAGTATAATCTTACTTCATTCCAGACTTTACTACAGTCTGCTGCTGGCTCTGCCCCTGATCTGCCTGCTTGACTGACATAATCAGAAGTGGTGGTCTGAGCCAATCATAATGCTTCCCCATAGGATTAGCTGAGAGTGTCAAGGAGGCAGATCAGGGGCAGAGCCAGCACAAGCCAAACACAGCCCTGGCCAATCAGCATCTCCTCATAGAGATGTATTGAGGAGGTCAGTGTTTGAATGCAGAGGGTGGAGACATATCTCATAGGCAATAGTGTCTGACTGTCAAGGAAAGTAATGGCTAAATTATAAAAGCCAAACCTGTCAGAAAAAAAAAGGGAGGAAAACTCGATACAAATTAACCAAGTGAAAATACTTCATATGCCTTTTTTTGGTGTCTGGAGTTTCCCGTTAATGATACCAAAACAAATACATTAAAATTGTATTGTTGCCTGAAGTGTACCTTTTAATATGCTTTATTTTTTTGCATGTTCAAATCATACATTTGATAAGAAAGTCTTTCTGGCATGAGAGGGCAGGCTGAGTGGAGCATTCGGCAAAACATTTATTTTTGTATGCAAAAACTATAAAAATTTGTACATGCAAAAATTTTTTTATTTTATTTTAAATACAGCATATTAATGATCTATAATATCTATAAAAGACATTCAAGTTGTGTTGGTGCCCGTAGTGTCCCTTTACGAGTTTCTGTAACTGTATGTTCTTACATAATAAAGAAATTACTTAAAGGGTTACTTCAAGCACCATGGCCACGTAAGTGATTTGAATCCTCCAGTACACCGTTTTCCAGCCTCCATTTATCCTTGCTTGCGTTCTCCTAATTCAGGTTCACTCCCTTTTTATGCCTATATTTGCTCTGCTTGTCAATTTTAATTCCTTCTTTCTCATGTCTCATTTTTAATTTATTCTTGTGAATAATATTAAACAAAACAACAATCGTTCCCAGAAGTTGAAACTTTAAAGGAACATTAATTATGCCACTTTATATAATAACTGAAAAGTACAATAAAAATGCTTCACTATGCCACATTGAGGTTCATCCCTAAGTTTCACAAAAAAAGGCCCACAACATAGGGTGTCACTTAAAGAGTTGCTCTAAGCTCCAAAACATGTTTAGCTTAAAGGGACTCTCCAGTGCTAGGAAAACATATCCGTTTTACCGGCATGCAGGACACTGCAGTGACCCTCTCCCTCCCACCCCCCATCCCACGCTATATCCAAGTAGCGGGATGCCTGAGGGACCCATTCAAGTTTCAAACCATTTCAAAATGGCTTGACTCCTTACCATAGGATGGTACCAGGGGACTTCTGGCACCATAACCACTAAAGTGCACTGTTGTAGTTAATGGGCTTTGAGTGTCTCTTTAATCAAAATTATATTTCAGATTATTTTATGTAATGTATTTGATCTCATTTACAAATATATGTTTACATTTTTATCTTTTTTATTTTTGTTGTTGCCATAATGTTCCAGATTTGTTTAACAATTACTTTTCTTCTCACAGACCCGTCAAGATCTTGCAGTGTGTGGATTTCCCTGGTCATATTGACTGCATCACAAACAGTGGCATTTGCTTTCCTGCATCCTGGATTGGCATAATGCTACCATGGCTTGCTATGATAAGTAATCATTTTTGAGTGGCTGCAAAAAAGTTGCTAAACACGCGTGATTTCTATGCAACAATATCATGTATTTTCAATTTTAAGCTTTTGTTCCAAAGTAGAAAATAAAAAATAAAGATGAGTTTTCCAATATTACTAGAGCTATTAAATATGTGAATCTATCTTCCTAAGAGAAAAGAACTAGACAAATCAAATGTAGTCCAAGAAATATGTATATGGAGATCTTACCCCATGCCTGCTGAGTTAAGTGGTGGCTTCTTCATTGTTTATGGAAACCATAAACAAACATGATAGTTTTAGACATAGGGGCGCACTAAAGTTTAAATAGCCCCGTACTAAATGGACAAAACAATCTGGTTGCGAACGGGGCAATTCAGACATTTTTCACACCAATTTTTAAGCAGGACACCAAATGCATCCATGAAATTGCTAAAGATTCACTCGGGCTGATCCAATTCAGACTGTATTTGGCTTTAGTAAATATGAGAATTGCCATTGCAGTTTGAATCAGGTAATTTTCACTGGATTGTGTCCATCTGTACAAAATCTGGTGTTTAGTGAATAACCCTGTAAGTCTTTATCAAATGACAGTGTCCAGCAAAGAGGGTTAAAATAGATACCTTCTTTATCACTTATTTCAAAAAAGTGTAATATGGCAGAAAGAATCCACATACACAATAAAAAAAAAAAGGGGGAAAAACCAAAACACCTCACACATTTTGGACTATAAAACCATTGTTGAGCAATTACTCTAAAACATGTATGCATGTAATAACACTTAAAGTGAACATGCTACCATTTGGAGTGTCTTACCCCTCTGACCAAAATCCTACCAACTTATTTTACAAAGCTATAAAATAAAATTTTTACATAATTTGGTCGTAACACACATTTATAAATCTTAGAACACAATATAAATCTTAGAACACAATATAAAGAGGGCTGTGTTCCAATAGCGTTGGCACCTAATTGGTGAAATATAGAATAATCACAGACTACTGAGAGATGAGCTGTCATTTTTAAAATGGTGATGATGTCTTCATTCACCCTAGTATACACTGTTAAAATAAGTATTGGACAAACTATGCTTTAGAAGTAAATATTAAAGGGACACTCCAGACCACTAAAGCACTTTAGCTTGTTAAAGTGCTTTATGTGTAAAGTGTGTCCTCTTTTTTTTTTTTTTTAAAGTGCAGATTCAATAGAAATTGGCACATTTATAAACTAACCTAGTAACACCCCCCCTTGACTGTCAATCACACAACCGATTCTGTTACTTCCTGGTTTGTTTAGCTCAGTGGAACTAAACTTAAGAGGCAGCAATTGCTCAGAGCACCTGCCTTGCAAAGATTTCTCATTGAGATGAATCCGGAAGTCTGTGATTGGACAGTTACAGTAAGTCTGGGCGGGGTTAGAAAAGGCAGCAGACAAGAATACTGCAGCATTTGCAAGCTGTTTTTAGATATACCCACAATAATTGCTTGCCTGTATGTTTTCATTGGGGGTATATCTACTAAACAGTGATTTGTATTTCAGCAGTGGAGTGTCTCTTTAAATACATTTACCTCCACTGTATCTGTAGGCACATTATGCCACAATGTTTCTTAGATGTACTGTATGCACCTATGCTTGCCTGGGCATGGACTTACCACGCTTCCCTGCATTCCAGATGATCACAGGCCATGGTTAAAATCTTGGGATGTTTGGAATATGAATTGGCAACCTGGCCGTGCCAGCACATTCTTTTACTTCATGCAAATAAAAAAAAAGTTTTAAAAAAGTACATTGTTTCAATAAAATAAATATAGTTTAACCTCTAGATAGCTATTGGAATGTGTATTTCCCTCAAACAGAAAGTTCCCCCTCAAAAAAAGATTTATTTGCATGTTTCCATTAATCCACTAGATGGCACACAAATGCAATCATCTAGATTCTAGATGAAGTAAGTCACAGAGAGGATGTATGGAAAGTGCAAAACATGGTGTTGAACAAAACAAAACAAAGAAATATTAGGAGGATACATCTCTCTATGGAACTTTGCAAAAGACAAAAAAACAATCAAAAACATTGCTCATATGAAATGTAGCCTATATCCAGGGACGGACTGACAGTGGCCTGGGCCCCCGGCCAAAATTAGCATCTGGGCCCCAAGCAGACCGATATATATGCTGGTGTAGGTGTACCGTGTATTTGATTATATGTACATGTAAAGTGAATGTATGTAAGCACTAGTGTGAGTGAATATATGTATGTCTTTGTGTGTAGTGTCAGGGTATGTGAATTCATAGTATATTTGAATACATGTTTTTGGTTTTATAAATAGGGTAATATTTTTTTTGTGTGTTTGAGTAGCATGGCAGTTTGTATTAAGGGGTATTTCTGAATTTTGGCAACGTGTTTGTATGAGGTCCAAATTTTGCATCTTAAATTACAAATCACAATTACAAATCATCATGTTACAAGCCACCTTAAAGGATCACTATAATGTCAGGAAAACAAACTTGTTTTCCTAACACTATATAACCCTTTGGTCCCTCCCCACCCTCAGGGTCCCCTGCCCACTGGGCTAAAGGGGTTGAAACTCCTTCAGCCACTTACCTTTATCCAGCGCTGGGCTCCCTCGGTGCTGGTGACCTTCCCCCCAACTCAGCCGACGTCAGCTCCCAAGTGGAGCAGAATGCACATGCGCGGCAAGAGCCATGCGTGCATTCAAACAGTCCATAGAAAATAATTTCTCAATGCTTTCCTATGGACGTTCTGCACGCTGAATGCGATTTTCGCATCCAGTGTCGCAGAAACGCCTCTAGCGGCTGTCAGGAAGACAGCCACTAGAGGCTGGATTAACCCTGCAATGTAAACATAGCATGTTTACATCTGAAGGGTTAAAACCTGGGGGACCTGGTACCCAGACCACTTCATTGAGCTGAAGTGGTCTGGGTGACTATAGTGTCCCTTTAACGGAACATTATAGTGTCAGGAATACAAAAGTGTATTCCTGACGCTATAGGTTTCTGGCCCCCCTTAAAAACGGGATTTACTCACCTTTTTTCCATCACCGACCAAACTCCTTGGCAGAGTTCAACAATTTTAGATGATCTCAGCCAGCCCAATGCTCTACCATAGGAAAGCACTGGAAGGCTATTGTGCATGTGCGGCAAAACACTACGCCAGGGGTCCTCAAACTCTGGCCCCCCAGATGTTGCTGAACTACAACTCCCATGATTCTTTGCATTACATAGATAGCTAGATAATCATGGGAGTTGTAGTTCAGCAACATCTGGGGGGCCGGAGTTTGAGAACCCCGGCACTACGCTGTGCCAATAAACATCTCCTCATAGAGATGCATTGAATCAGTGCTTTTCTGTGACAAGTGTTCAGCGGAGATGCAGAATGTCAGTGCTGCACATTTTGCAACACTGACACAGGAAGCGCCTAGATGTTCTTAGGCAGCAATGTAACACTGCTTTTTCTCTGAAAAGGGAGCCTTTACAGCAAAAACCGTGCAGGGGCCGACTATACTCACCAGAATAACTACATTAAGCTGTAATTGTTCTGGTAACTATAGCGTTCCTTTATGCTTGTGCGTGCAAATGGTGCTGGGGGGAAGGGGCTGTAGAGGATGGGGGGGGGAAGAGGCTGCAGAGGGTACAGGGGGGAGGGTCTGCAGAGGGAATGGTGGGGGAAGAGAGGCTGTAGTGGGTGCAGAGGGTAATAGGTGCTGTTGTGATTGCAAACGGAAATATAAGCTATCGTAAGTGCAGGGAGTGTAGGGGCTGTAGTTGGTGCATAGGGTATAGAGGCTGTAGTGGGTGCATAGGATATAGGAGTTGTAGTGGGTGCCTGGGAGTAGGGGCTGAAGTGGGTGCAGGAGGTGAGGAGCAGCAGATGGTGAGGGGCAGCAGATGGTGAGGGGCAGCAGAGGGTAGGATCTCTGCAGGGGGTAGGGGGTATGTGCTGCAGAGGGAGCAAGGGGGTAGGGGCTGCAGAGGGAGCAGGGGGTATGTGCTGCAGAGGGAGCAAGGGGGTAGGGGCTGTAGAGGTAGCAGGGGGGTAGGGGCTGCAGAGGTAGCAGGGGGTATGTGCTGCAGAGGTAGCAGGGGGTATGTGCTGCAGAGGGAGCAAGGGGGTAGGGGCTGCAGAGGGAGCAGGGGGTATGTGCTGCAGAGGGAGCAAGGGGGTAGGGACTGCAGAGGTAGCAGGGGGGTAGGGGCTGCAGAGGGAGTGGTGTGTACAGGCTGCAGAGGGAGCACGGGTTAGGGGCAGCAGAAGGTGCAGTGGGGTAGGGGCTGCAGAGAGAGTAAGAGGGTAGGGATGATAGGAGTTGTAAGTGTAAAGTGCCTTGGCATGATAGGAGTTGTAAGTGTAAAGGAAGGAGTTTCAGAAGGGGTAGGGGCTGCAGAGGGGGTAGGGACTGCAGAGGGAGCAGGGAGGGGTTGGGGCTTCAGAGGGAGCAGGGAGGGGTTGGGGCTTCAGAGGGGGCAGGGGGTTTGTGGTGGCAGGGGGTAGGGGCAGTAGTGGGGGAAGTTATATCATTAAAATATTTGTAATTTAAAAAAAAAAAAAAAAATGAATGATTTTAAAAAATTAAACCCCCCTTACAAGTCTTACCTCTGTGGTGGTCCAGACATCCTCTCCTGGAAAGTCCCTCACCACTCCAGGCACAGGATCTTGACATGCTGCCTGTAACTCTAATCAGGGCAGCTCCGCACAGCTCACTCTGCATTGTGACTGATGATGTCACTTCCTGCAGAACAAGCCCCACGGAGCTGCCCTGAGCAGTGTTACAGGCAGCTCAGTGAGGCTGTTTGGAGACAGGCACACTGAGGGGCAGCCTAGTGGGGTCTTTGGGAGGGCCCCTTAGCTGTCCCTCAGTGTGCCCTGCACCGAGGAGATGATTAGTAGCAGCAGGGGCCCGCGGACGGCTGTGTGGGCCCCTTACTGAGTGCAGGCTGGCTGGGGAGATTGTTTTACTCCCCAGCTCAGCCATTACTGCACTGCAGCAGGGGCGGGCCCCCCAGAGCCTCGGGCCCTCGGTCCATGACCGATTTGCCCGAGTGCTCAGTCTGCCCCTGCCTATATCTGTGAAGGAAACTTAAATCCCTTATCTTAAGTGAAACATTTTGGGAATCT